TTATTTTATCTTGAAAAATCGTTGCCCTTGTCTTTTATTTTCAGACTTGCTGGCAGCATTTTTCAAGACTTTTAAAATCGTTGCCCTTGTCATTTATTTTCAGACTTGCTAGCAGCATTTTTCACGACTTTTAAAATCGTTGCCCTTGTCATTTATGTTGAGACTTAAATAGTTAAATGTATTTTGGTACTTGCTGGCAGCATTTCTCAAGTTTTTGTTAAAACAACCATTGCTCTCTGAGAGCAATTTTAAAAAACAAAAGCTATAATTTTAAAGTTGCTTGAACTTGTTATGAGCTGCTGCCTGCTGGTAGTGCTTTTGCCTTTTGATTGATGTCTCTGCTGAGTTGTTGCTGCTGCTGTTTTATTGCTGCTGTTTCTTATGCTTGCTGCTGTTTTGTTGCTGCTGTTTCTTATGCTTGCTGTTTTAATTTTTCTTGAATCATCGTTGCCCTTGTCATTTATGTTGAGACTTCAATGTATATGTACTTGCTGGCAGCATTTTTCAAGTTTTAAGTTAAAACAACCATTGCTCAGTGATGATACGATAAACGTAAATCTGAGAGCAATTTTGAAAAAAAAAAATAAGTTCCTGCTGAGTCCCTTCTGCTTATATTATTCCTTGCTTCGGATAAGTTGTTGATCTGTTATTGCGTGTGCTGGTTCCTGCTTGTTGCTGCTATTTCCTCTGCTCTTGGGTGTTGGGCTGCTGCTTCAAGATTCTGCTCCCAAATCACTCACATTCTCACTCCTCCCTTCATCTTATCATGTATCATTTTTTGCAACCCTAAACTTGATGATGTTTCAGTTGATAAATCTGAAATCTAATCTGGGTAGTAGTGATAGTAGTTTCATTATGTATTGGTATATGTATTGTGAATTTTAATCAATGAAAATGGTGACTTTTTTTAATTGCTTGTTGATATTACTCTAATTTTAATGTTATTTATCTCCAATCTTATGTTATCTTATTGGATGATCATGAATATCAAGGAACAATGAAGATAATTTGGGTGGACTTTATTACTGGAATGAAAAGATACAAATGATATATCTTGTAATTAAAATAAATAAGTAATCTAAAACGATATTAATAATGTCGTTGGCCTAGATCTAGGTGATATAAACCTTTGTATAAACCTAAGCCGTTTGATTAGATCTACATTTATTAACATTAATTATTTAATTGTATTTACTATTTAGCCATTTAGGTTGTAAATAATTCAATTTGAATTAAGCAGTTTGTAATTGTATAAGTTTAAACAGGTTGCGATTCGAAAACAGTTCGATTTTAACGGTTTAACGGGTTATGGCAGTTCTGTTTAGACAGTTAGCGGATTATAACGGTTCGGTTTATACGTGCGGTTTAAACGGTTTCGGTTCATAAATGGTTAGCGGGTTACAAATGGTTCGGTTTAAACGGTTTTTTTTTTCGGTTTAAACGGTTTCGGTTTATAAAAGTTGGAAGTTAACACCAGTTAACGATTTCCGTCACGGAAATTTAACGTGGGTCCCATAAATTGGCTTCAACTCTCCTTCGTTTTCAATTTTTTACGAAACCCACCTTCGTGGCTGCCATCCCATTTTTTCTTCTTATTCCTCCCTTCATCTTTTCTTCGTCTTCTTCCTCCCTTCATCTTCATGGCTTCCATCCCAAACTCTTTCCTTCGTTCTTGCCCACCCTCCCCTCAACTGCCACCCCTTCCCTCCCCCCTCCCTTTCCCCCACCCCTACGCTGCCAACCGAACCCACCCCCCTTCCCTTTCCCCGTTCTCGCAACCAAATCAGCTCCTCTCCAAATACCAGCCCACAATCGCAACCCCTGCAGCCACCTCCTCACTCAAACCGCAAAAAATCAATTCCCAACATCAATTCCCGAAATCAGAGCAAATCGCAGATCCATCGAACCTCGTCTAGAAATCAATTTAAGTTTGCCGAAAAAAGTTACGGTGTGGTGGTTTAGGGGTTAGGGTGGCCGAAAAGGTTAAGGCGGGTCGATTCGTTAGGGTTTGGAGCAAAGTGTTGCAGAAGAGTGGTGGTAGTGGTGGTGGTTGCGGCGATTCAGATCTTTGATTGTGGTTTCGGTGTGGTGGCTTGGGTCGGGGCAGCAGGGGAAAAGGGAGAGGGTTGGGTTGCGTTTGTGGGGAAAAGGGGTGGGATGGGTTCGCCGGTCGTCGGTCGGGGGAGGGAGCTGGGTGGCTAACGGGATGGGGCAAGGTTGGTTTCTTGGGTGGTTGATTTAATTTTGGTGGCCGGTCCCCAGTTAACATGTTTGCTGGCTGCGAAGGCTTGGTCAGTAGCCGTACAGGGCCCTTTATGGGCGGCGGAATTGGTGGTAAAAAAAATGGAAGTTCTCAGTCGCTTTGTTCTCCAACGAAGGAGAAGATGAACCGGTGTTGAATTTTTATTTATTTTTTGTATGGTTTGATTTATGAGCACCAAAAATCTGTAAATCTGTAAATTATGAGCACCAAAAATCTGTAATGGATAAAATCAATGAAATGAAGGTTCAGAGAGGAAGTTTCGTGTTTTGCTGGGTGAAAATTGAAGTTGAAGCCAATTTGTGGGACCCACGTTAAATTTCCGTGACGGAAATCGTTAACTGGTGTTAACTTCCAACTTTTATATTTTTGGGAGGTGTTAAAATAAAAGTTTTTTTTTGGGGGGTGTTAAAAACCATTTTCAGCCTTTTGTCAGGTGTTAAAATCCAAAATATCCATAATTCAATTTGAATTAAGCAGTTTGTAATTGGATAAGTTTAAACAGGTTGCGATTCGAAAACAGTTCGATTTTAACGGTTTAACGGGTTATGGCAGTTCTGTTTAGACGGTTAGCGGATTATAACGGTTCGGTTTATACGTGCGGTTTAAACGGTTTCGGTTCATAAACGGGTCGGTTTAAACGGTTAGCGGGTTACAAATGGTTCGGTTTAAACGGTTTTTTTCGGTTTAAACGGTTTCGGTTTATAAACGGTTCGGGTCATTAACGGGTTTATAAACCATTCGGTTCGGTTTCGTTTCGGTTCGGATTTGCGCAGTTTGGTTTGTTATCGGTTTACGGTCCGTAACGGGTTGACATTGAGCGGTTCAATTCGGTTTCAGTTTGATATTGAACGGTTCAGTTCGGTTTTCGGTTTACATTTATCGGTTTATAAACGGATCGGTCCGTGATGGTTCGGTTCGGTAACGGGCGGTTTCACGGTTCGGTTTGAAAAGTCCCACCCCTAATTATACATATACCTTAAGGCCTGAACTAAGCTGAGTTGAACTGAACACATTGGAGCTGAAATGAATATTTTACAAGAGAAGGAAATTAGGAGCTGAACTGAACTGGACTGATTAGAGCTAAACTGAACTGAAATTAAGCTGAAGTGAACAGTCCCTTAGATAAATTAAAGTTTGAACATAATCCTTGTCAATTTTTTTTTGGTTACATAATCCACTAAACAAAAGATCTATATGTTACTATAGAACCACCTAAATTATAAATGAGTGTCACAAAAAAAAAAAAAAAGAATTTGCACATTATATTATAATTATTTTAAGTGAATGATAATTTGTTAAAAGATAATTAAGAATATAATTTATAGTGGTAAGTAAATCAAATAAGAATTTATATTAAAGATAAATTTTTTGTACCTAGGGCCTGCTTTGATTTACTGAACTGAACTGAACTTATTGGAGCTGAATTGAACTGAACTAAAATGAGCTGAAATGAATTGTTTATGAGAGAAAGAAATTAAGAGTTGAACTGAATTGAACTGATTGGAGCTTAATTGAACTGAGCTGAAGTGAAATTAAGCTAATGAGAACAGACCCTTATTCTTGGGACTGCACATTGATTGTTTGGGACATCCTAAGTACATTTTTTGTATGTACTTCGGGCCTGTTCACTTCAGCTTTATTTAAGTTAAGTTTAGTTTAGCTCCAATCAGTTCAGTTCAGTTAAGCTTCAATCAGTTCAGATCTGTACAACTCCTAATTTCCTTCTCTCATAAAATATTTGTTTCAGCTCTATTTAGTTTAGCTCTAATCAGTTCAGTTCAGCTCCAATCAGTTCAGTTCAGTTCAGCTCCAATCAGTTCAGTTCAGCTCCAATCAATTCAGTTTAGTTTAGCTCAGTTCAGTAAATGTGAACAGACCCTTCATATATAATTTTGTAAAGAGTCATGTATACTTGATTACATTCCCTCAAGGTGTTTTATATTCAAAATGTACGAGTTTATCTGAAATAACCTTAATTAGATATTTAAATCTTTTGGATAAAGACTAATTAAACATAATTCAACTAAACAAAAGAACAATGTTAAATATTGGAACCACCTACATTATTGTGTATCACCAATTAGTGACCTTATTTACACATTATAATAGTCGAGGTTCACTTTTAGTGCAAAACTTGTAAATTCACATTATTCACATTCTTACACTTAATTTATCAATTATCTTTTGATTCTTAAACACATAATTAGGGCCTGTTCACTCTAACTTAATTTCAGTTCAGTTCAGTTCAGTTCAGCTCCATTCATTTTAGTTTAGTTTAGTTAAGTTCCTAATTTCTTTCTCTCATAAAATATTCATTTCAGCTTTATTTAGTTTAGTTCTGTTCAGCTCCAATCAGTTCAGTTCAGTTTAGCTCCAATCATTTTAGTTCAGTTCAGCTCAGTTCAGTAAATGTGAACAGACCCTTAGGTTGATTAATTTTATTGGACATACACTACTAGAATCCGCCTAAATAATGTCAGTTCATCAGCGACGGTCATAAAAAACGGTCGTAAAATTATAATTTTACGATAGTTTTATAAGCTGTCGCAAACTACGACAATTTATATCCCTTTTACGACAGTTTGTTTGTCGTTGAAATTATATGAGTTTTTTTTTGAATTTTTATACATGTATTACGACAGTTAAAAACTGTTGTAAAATATTTTATTTAATTTTTTAATATTTCTATTAGGTTGTGACAGTCATAAACTGTCGCAAAACCGTCCCAGATTATCGTATTTTTTTTTTTTTAAAAAAACAAATTTAATTAAAATAACTCTAATTCCCCTCTTTCACCTTCACTTCCCTTTAACAGAGCTGCGACGAGAGAGGAGCAAGAGGGAACTCCGCAACGCATCTTCCGTCAATCCGTCGTTGGGAATTTGGTCCTCCACAATCGATTAGTTGGTAATCCCCTTTCATGTGTATTATATGTAATTGTTATTAATTTTTTCATTTTATCACTTAAACCCTAACTTTTTCTTTGCTTCCCTAAAGCTATCGGAGGGCCACCGGAGTGCCGCTTCTTCTGACGCCGGTGTGCCGCTTTCCCTGACTCCGATGTGCGAGTTCACTAGCGCTGAAGCTTCGACTGCCCTGACGTCGGACTGATTTCGCACTTGCCGCCTGTTTGAGGTAAATATCGACCCTTGTTTTTCCTTTTTTTTTTTTTTAAATTTTTTTCATTAGTACTACTGGAATTTGAGAATGACTCTGAATTTATCATGCCAAATAAATTTGAAGTCCAAATTGATTATGTGAATTGGCAACAAATTGAACATACTAGTCTAGGTTTTAGGTAAACATCTTCAATATATCATGAATTATGTTGAGAAACCTTGAGAAGGGCAATAGAAACATTGCAGTTTTACCGGTAATTTCCCCACATTCCCAAATGAATTTTCATGTTTTTATTGGGATTTAGCTCAGTTAATACTTAATCAAATGCGAATTTGGATTTTTCCCTTTTTGATTAGTTATGTTTGTGTATTAATCAGGCTAGGGTTTTGCTTAGTTGTGATTTCTATTTTTCTTTTCAATCATGTAATGTATTACGGGATTCAAATGTATGTAGTGATTTGCAATTTCTTTTTCCTTTTTATCTTTAAATTATAAAGAATTGAGGTCAAACATTATAAATGAAGGAGAATGTGATAAAATGCGAATAATTTATTGAGAATTAGAGAGAGAATAGGTAGGAATTGAGATAATTTCCTTTTACCACCGAGCTTAGAATAACTGCATCTTTTTTTTTTATTTTTAAAATGGAGAACTTATTATCTATTTTTTGTTGCAATGCTTAACAGCTCGCATCGTTAGTATAAATTGAGGTTTTACCTTAAAAAACCTTGAGAAGGGCAATAGAAATTTGGAAAAACATCTTCCATATTTTTTGTAACTTAGTTCTTACTATTTTTTCACAATTATTTATAATAGTTTGTAGTTAATTATTTATTTTTGCTAATTTATGTAAGATATAAGCAAATTGGTTTGCTTTTGCTTTGAGTTGGTTTCTTTCTAAGGTGAGTTGTGCATAAATTTATTTTGTATGCTTCAAATGAAATTTTTTTGTTACATTTGTATTAGTTATAGGAGTTAGTTTATAGTATGAGTATGAGTTTGTTTAAAGTGTGTATAACTATGTAAATGTATATACTAAAATTATGTATGTTGATTTATCAGAATGTTTGCATTGTTATTGTGGGTACATTTGGTTATTTAGATCAAATTAGCCATCATTGAGTAGCTCTATCCTCTACATCTTATGTATATTATGAGTATCTTAAATTAAGTTAAGTGAGGCGTATACTTGTTCTTTTTAATTATGCCATGACTTATTTTGAAGTTTCTCACATGAAATCTTAACAGATTCTTATCAATAATGAAAATCACATGCGAATAAGCTCAAATTTTGATTTACAAAAAGTGTTGCTGTCAAGAAGTCTGATTTGTATTCTTGGATTAGAGATGAGTCTGGTTTGACCTAGAATATGTTTTGCTGATCATTTTTATCTGTTTTTTCATTTTTTTTTTCTTTTCTTTCTTTTTTTTTTGGTGGAGTACAAAATTTTGTTTTGTGGCTCTGTTTCTTTGTTCAGATGTATCCCTTCAAACTTTTGAAGTGCTTCTACTTTTTCTAGTGCCTATTACATATATGATGATGCTTGCTAATGTTGCATAGTGCATTTTATGCACTATTGAAGTTGGCAACGCATTAAATGATATTGCTCAAGGCTTTTCTTGTGATATTTAAACGATGCAAAATCATGATTTTTATGCCATTTATGTTGTCAAATTTAAGTGTAAAGCTTCTAGTTTAGGCTATTTATGTGATTTATCTTTATGTAGAATCTTCCCGTGTCTATTGCTTTCATGATCGTCTTTGATTTTATTTCCATTTATGATACTGAAGTCAAATCATGATTCCTCGTAGCATGTATTTTCCAGTATGTTCTTAGGTAGATTTCTGGTGTAGATTTGCCTAGTAAAAATCCCCAGAATCATCCTTTGTGGTAAACTGACTATAGTGTCCTGGTACATTTTATATGACCTTATGGCCTGGTGTTCCTTGGTTGCTTTAGATGACATAATAGGTACTACTCCAATTTGTGCAGTGTTTTGGTTACATTTTTATGAGTTATAGGAGTTAGTTTATAGGATGAGTATGAGTATGAGTTTCTTTAAAGTGTGTATAAGTATGTAAATGTTTATACTAAAAGTATGTATGTTGTAGTTTTAATTTCAAGTTAAAGTATGTATGCATATTGATTAAAGTTAGTATGTATGTAATAGTTTAAAATATCATTCCTAAAATAATTCCATGTTCAAATCTGAAAAAATATGAATTATATATAAGATACAAGTTTACAATAGTGAATGTCATGATTAAAGCTTAGAATTTGTTTTAGAAATATGATTTTTTTCTTCAAATTAGAGGTTCTTAATGATAGGTGATTATTACCCTCATATGTAGAAGTGTGGTTACATTCACTAGTGGGGTTAGATGTCAAAGGATGGGTAATGTTGAAGTGATATGGATCTTTGGACATCATTTTAAATCTAAGTCCATACCATTCATACATACATTTAAATGAATGCATTATTGTTGTTTGTGATTATACTATGTGATTTATCGATTTTGAATAGTGTCGTGGAATTTGTCACCATGAAAAGGAAGGAGCGCTAGTGGATGTACGATAGAAAAGAAGGTAGTAACTTAAGGCACGAGTTCTTGAAAGTGGTTGATGATTTCATTGCTTTATGCAAAGCAAATCCCGAGAGCCCCGGGTTAGATGAAGTTAGACGCCCTTGTGTGAAATGCAGGAATAAATATTTGTTACCGGCTAACACAATGAAACTTCATTTGTATAAGAAGGGGTTCTTACCTGAATACTTTGATTGGGTTTCTCACGGGGAAGAGTTCTGTAGGGAATATTTCAAGCATTACCCCTAGATTGAACCCCACTGTGATCATACAGTAAAGTACGGTGGCGTCCAAAGGGAAAAAAGATAGAGCAAAAGAGTCGCCAACAAGTTTTAGGAACTTGTAAACCGTTCACGAGGTGAAGGTTACACCCCCTTAACGATCCAAGAGATCATCAACTCCAATAGGTCTGGAACCATGACTGGTAGTTCGGGGATGATGGTACAAATCCAACCTAAAAGAGATTGAACCTGCCCTAATAATAGGCCTCTACTTTATTCTGATCGTATTCATGTGCGCTTTTTGACTAACATACAATCAATAAGTTTACCCTAAACCTGTTTATCTATGTTGGTTGAATATTAATGCACAAATAAATCTATTATTGGCGATCACTTGAATTATAATCATATTAACCCTAAACAAGATTATTAATTATCTTATTAAGCGTGATTACAAGTACAAATTCCCTTTAAACATGCATAAAAAGTGTGATCAAGTAATAACAATAAATATAACCAAGCAACTTAATAATAAAAATTAAAATAATCATGTTAAAGCATGATAATAATAGCAAGATTCTAGACATGATACTAACAAGATTAATAACAAACCCTAGCATGTCACTAAGCAATAATAATCAAATATATAGCCCTAACATGATACTAACGATTATAAATATTAGGAAAAGAACATAAAAGACATCATACTTTTAATCATACTTGATATTAAAGTTACCTTAGACATGATATTAGGAAGATCAAAATACCCTAACATAACACTAGGAATCATAACAACCTAGACATGATTTCTATATCATAATAACAATAAAAACCATTAAAGCACTTACTTGAATGCCTCGTACCTCTTTCTTAAATCAAAATACACACGTTAGTAATTTCAAGATAAATATAATCAAACAATTAAATTAAACAATTTAAATAGAGATTTGGGACCAAACCCTCAGAAATTAAAAACCTTTCACGTCTAGGGCGAAGGCAACTTCGAACTTGGCTAGGCGTGTCTTAGTCTTGTGAGTGCGGAATTTTGTATGAAGGGGTTGGTTTAGAAGAGAAAGAGAGAAAAGCTTCTAGCTTTTAGGGAGAAGAGAATTAGAGAAATTAAGAAATTGATGATTGTAAATGAGAATTGGTCTTGATAACGGAGTTTTTAGGAGACTATTTATAGAGAAAATCAGCCAAAAAGATAGAAAATCGAACCAGAGTTCTGACGTGAAAAAACGGAGTTAGCGCCAGACGCTGACATTAGCGCCAGACACTAATGCTAGCGCCAGGCGCCAAGCTTAGCGCTAGGCGCTAATGCTGGCGTTAGGCGCTAATCAAGTTTTTGACGCATTTTCTAAAATCAGATAAAATTTATCCGTACAGGAGGATAAAATCGTATTTTCCTCAAAAACATTCTTTTATTCTGATTAAAACTCTAAAAAGTCAACAAAAGTCAATTTATCAATGCTAATTGAATTAGGAATGAAAAGAACCTTCTAGAAGAATCTAGAAGACTAAAACCATTCCTAATTGCATTAGGAATGATAAATCCATAACTCCCCTAGATCATTGGGCCGCATATAAGGTTCAAACCGGACCTAGTTTAGTAATTTGGTCATAACTTCCTCATTATTGATCAGAATTGGGCTTATAATATATTGTTGGAAAGGTCTTTTCAAGCCCCATCCAACTACACTAATATTGGACCCATATCATGGACCAACCAAACTGGATTGGTTGTTTTCTTATAATAAGTTTTCAAAAACAGAGAGAAAAGAAAAGAAAATTAAAACTATCCGCAACACTAAACTTTCCACACTTTCACTTCATTCGATTATGATTCGACGTGAAACGCACTCATCATCGGGTTTGGTTTTGGGGAGACACAAATGGGTGTCTACAGAAGCCCCCACTTTGACTGAGTTTGGAGAAACGCAAGTTTCGAAAACAAAAGTCAAAGTATTGATAGGGATGGAGAATGATTCAGAACGTTCTGCGATCCTAAATCATTCTTGTAACGCCGATACCTGCAAAACTAGCGTTAGTTAAAACAGATAAAAGAGTTAAGAAACGCGTATATTGCACCGTCAAGCATACGTCTCCGGAGGTAACGGATTTGTTGCTGCATTGTTGTATTTCTGTATTTTTGACGACCTCCTGCAAGCTAGAGAATGTCGCCTGAAGATTGCTACGCTTGTAACTGCCTC